GGCCGGGGCATTACAAAGCCCAAACGGCATTACGGTATACTCATAATGCCCGTAACGGGTATTAAATGCTGTCATCCATTCATCTCCTTGTTTAATTCGCACCAAGTTATATGCTCCTCTCAAGTCAAGTTTGGTAAAAATACTCGAGCCCTTTAGTCTGTCAAAGAGTTCAGTAATCAAAGGAATAGGGTAAGCATTCCTGATAGTAATTTTGTTCAATCCCCGATAGTCTATACAAGGACGTAAGGTACCGTCTTTCTTTTCTACAAAAAAGAAACCCGCCCCCGCCGGAGAAGAAGACTTTCTAATAAATCCTTTGTCTAAATTCTCCTTGATGTATTCCTCTAAAACTAAATTTTCCTTGGTGGATAAAGGGTATACCGTACCCCTAGGAGGCATAGTACCAGGGAAAAGTTTAATAGAACAGTCATAAGACCGGTGGGGAGGTAAAGTATCCGCCTTACCCTTGTCAAATACAGATTTGAGGTCTAGATATTGTAATGGTATCTGAACGTCTGTGGATTGGGAAGAGTTAGTATAAGAGTTTACGGGGCAAACAGAAGTAACTCTCTGCAGACATTCTTTCCTACAACCAATACCCCAAGAAACGATTTCTCCACCCTCCCAGTCAATCTCAGGGTTATGTCTCTTGAGCCAAGAATATCCTAGCACCACTGGGACTGCCGGGGAGGAAATTAACAGAAGGGAAATCAACTCCTCGTGGAAGATACCAACAGTAAGCTTAACAGGTTTGGTCTCATGGAATATTACTGGTTCCGATAAAGGTCTACCATCTATGGCCTCAACGGCCAAGGGTGTATCTCCAAGATGGAATGGGATACAATGCTTATTAGCGAAGGTTTGATCTATAAAGCTTTCTGCTGCTCCAGAATCTAACAATGCCATCATAGAAATAAACCCATTTTCCCAAGCTAGAGAGACAGGAATCAGAAGCCTATGGTCTTTTTTATTATGTATAGAGGACAGTAACGAAACACCCAAGGCCCGTCCTCTAAGGGAACTTAGGAGCGAGCGTTTCCCGGGCGATTAGGGCAACTAAGACGTAGGTGACCTCTCCGCCCGCAGTATAAACAGAGACCCTCCCTTCTTCTGTACTGTCTCTCAGCCTCAGATAAGCGAGTATTACCTATTTGCATAGGTTCTGGTGGAGTAGGATTATAGGAGTCAGGGTTCTGAAATGAGGGAGCAAGTCTTACAGGAAGTCTAGTAACTCTTTCCCGAGTGTTCTGCCTCTGTCTCATGCGTTCATCTATTCTGGAAATGAAAGATACTAAATCCTCTAAATTTTCCGGAAGTTCTCTTGTGGCAATCTCATCTAGAATTTCATCAGACAACCCATTCAAGAATACATCCATAAAAGCTTGTTCGTTCCATTTCACTTCTGCTGCCAATGATCTAAACTCTAATGCATATTCTACAAGGGTCCTATTCTGTTGTTTAAGGCGTAACAGGAATCTGGCCGCATTAATCTTCCTTCCTGGGGGGTCAAAAGTCCTTCTAAATGCCGTGACAAAAGCAGTGTAGTTGTAGACTAGAGGATTGTCATTCTCCCAAAGGGGATTGGCCCATCTAAGTGCTTTATCTATTAGCAGAGTTATAATGAAGCCTACCTTAGCCCTGTCAGTAGGGTAAGCCCGGGGTTGAAGTTCAAAATGTATGCTTATCTGGTTTAAAAAACCACGACAAGTATCAGGCGAACCCCCATAACGTAACGGTGAAGTGACATGGGAAGATGCGCCTACAGTGGCTACTTCCAAACCAGTACTTAGTGGGAGGCTAGCAGTAGAACGTATTTCTTCTGACTGGGTGCTGGAACGTGTTAGCAAAGTTTGTAATGCTAAAGCCATTTGGTCCATTCTATGGTCCATGGCCTCAAATCTGGGGTCAGGAGGACTAGCACCTGCAGGATCCATTTGGCCCTGTCGTAATGTCAGGATACTGACAGGGATCCAATACGCAGAGTGCGGACAGAAGGAGGTACGTATACCGGACCTTAGAATGGCCGGACTAACGTATGGACAAAACAAGAATAGTCAAAAGGTAAGCCGAGGTCGAGGGAGCCGGAGGACAGGTAAGCGAGATACAAGCCGAGTCAAAGGAGAGGAGAGGACAACAGGACAAAAGACAAGCAAGGTCAAAACCGAAAACACAAGAGAGAGAGAACGCGCTGAGTGACTAGCAAGCTAGAAACACGACAGGGCAATGAGCAGTAGTAAAGGTTTCCTTTAAATACCCTGTCACCTTAATTGAGACCACGCCCCCAAAAGGTCCGGAATAGCGGTTCCCGGCACTTCACGTAATGCTGACGTCATGACGTCGACGCTAGCCGTCGCGTCATAAAAGGGGGAGGAACTAGCGCGGCCGGCGCGAAAACGGCCGGAATTTGCCGAAATGCTAGGGGCAAGGAGCCCCTAAACAGAGAGGATGTCTTCCCTGGAGTCAGCACCAACAGGTACCCTGACACACATGGAGTTGTTGTGGGGATGAGACAAATGGAGGGGCTGAGGGGAAATGAGACACATTGAGGGGTTGGGGGGAGGTAATGAGACACATGGAGGGACTGAGAGGAGAGAATGAGAAACATAAAGTGGCAGTGGGGAATGAGACACATGAAGAGGATGGTAGGATGAGACACATAGAGGGGCTGGGGGGAATGAGAAACATAGGGGGAGCCAGGGCAATTTTCGCACCGTGGCTTGGTGGTTTCTAGTTACGCCTCTGTGTAACGGTTCTGCGAGACTCTGTTGGTCTGGCTGCACAGAAACACAGCGGTCACGCCGTCATAAATAATAAATACTTACCTTGCTCGCGGCAAACCGCTACCCGACCTCCTTCTGTCCCGATCCCTAGCGTGTGCGGCATTCCTGGAGACGGCCGCTGCGGTTCCGGTTTTGTTAGGATATAGCCTTTGCCCACATTAAAGATGGCGCTTACATGCATGAGATGTCCCGTCATAGACGTGCACACACGTTTTGGGGTCTGAGGCCACATACAGCCAATTACAGCTTCAAGATCCTTTTGATCAGTGCCCTGTCGTGGTTTCCCTTTGATGGTTATCCGAGAGTGTGTTCCTGATCGTGTTTTTCTGATTTTTGACTTTGGCTCCGTTTGACTTCCCTGGTTTCTGGTATCCTTGACTTTTGGCTTTTCCTAATCGTTTTGTCTCATTCTGTACCCTGACCTCGGCAAGTATTTTAACTATTCACGGATTCGTTGAGTTAGGCCATTCTAAGATACGGTTAGACCTTATCCTTAGTAATAGGCGTGATACTATACTAATCCTGACAATCTGTACTTGCAGCTTTATTTATATATTTTTGTTCTTCTTTCCCTGCCCATGTTTCATTTTCATGGGAAATTTCACAGAACCTTTCACCAAGCCTAGGAATAACCACCATGTAGACCTGACAGATTTTTGAGAAGATATAGTGTAAAATAATAGACATGCCAATTTCAGTCTTCAAAATTAGAGTTTTAATTGGTTAATTTCTCTTCTGAGACACAATAGTAACTGCATTTTACCCCCACTATGGTTTACCATTTGTAAATCAAAACAACTGGACAATTTAATATGGGGCATTTGAGTCATTTTACTTGGCCATTTCATCTCCATTTTTGCCACATTTAGCTTTAAAAGTCATTTTTAGTTTTTGTTATGTACATATATATTTTAACAGTAAATTTAATAGGTCATATGTGTTCTACGTCCTCAGTTACCTTAGATTTATGCTCTGTTGCATCAGCTAGCATATCAACACTACTCATGTATACCTTTAATCACCATGAATGCTGTTTTTGTATTTTTGTGTAACTTTGCATGTATATACAGGTGTGGAGGGGCTGAGGGGAGCAAATGAGACACATAGAGGGGCAGTGAGGAATGAGACACAAAGAGAGGATGGGAAGGTAAGACACATGGTAGGGGCTGGGGGAGGGCGGGGTTGTCGTGTAAAGGCATATGTATATGTGAGTGTAGTGTCAGTATGTGTGAAATTAGTTGTGTATATGTGTATAGTGTCACTATGTTAATGCAGGTGTATTTTGTCAATGTACCTTAATTTGAGTAGTATCTGCATGACACAAATTGTTAATGGTGTTGATGACCAGAGTTTTTGGTATAGATTTATGCTTTTTACTACTCTTTTATACATGTTCATTGAACAACAGTCTATTTCTCTCTACTATTCCTACTGGCATTAATATATTTTACCAGCATAGCCTGTATAAAGATGTCTGAATTAACCTTTTAAAAAAGGAACACAGTTACTGCTTATTTGTTCTTAATATACATTTTTATCTTACTATTGTGAATATTCATTCAGTAGAGAGCATGATGAGATACTAAAACAAAATAATCTAAAAAAATAGTGCAGGTTTTGTTCTTTTTAAAAAACATTTTTTCAAATTTGTGTTTTATTAAGCAACATATACAACATCATACATCCTTACATAGGTAGGCAGCGACATGTGTGTATCGATGCATGGCTTGGACTACGTGTGATAGCTTCTAGGGTTCGTCTCGGTAGTGCGCCTATGAGAGATGGGGCAGCGCGCGCCTCTATATTACAGTGCTCTAAAGAGTTTGACTGGGAATGTGTGAGAACTGATAATTTAGTGACTAAGTAAGAAGCCGCTACCTTTCCTCACAGATTGTTTTGCTGTGTCATCTAGAGACAAACTCGTTGGATGTGGGGTGTGATGTCCCTAGTATTCAGCATGAACTGGCTAAGCTAGGCTGCACCCTCGTGGTGTATATAACGTAAAACTATAAAATGAAAAGTGGTAGGTAAAATAACATTAAATAAACATTCTGCAGTTGGGGACTGGGTAGCTATCAATATGAGTGCAGGACTGCGTTCGCGGTCGTCATTAGTATGGCGTGTTTTCAGGTCAGGGCTCCCTGTGCTCAGGTTACAGTCGTTTAGGCATTGGGTAGGTGCAGTCTCTGCAAAAAAGGCAGTAGAGTCCTCTTTAGAAGTCAGGGTAAGTACTGTAGCTACTTGTGTCACGGTCAGTGAACCGTCCGCTCCCCAGCGGTTTTAGATTGCGGCGTTCCGCAGCTGTGTGGCTATCAGGTCTAGTTGTCTGAGTTCTAGTAGTGTGGCAAATGGAAGATCTCCATAGATTGCCACTGTATAACCTTCGAAGTGTATATTGCCAAGCTCCCTGGATCGGCTCATGATGGCGCTTTGGCGCTCCTTGTGGGGCACACGCTGCCTTGCGTACTTTAAAGGTTGATGTTAGCAGTGTGTGCTTCATTTTATGCTCATAGATACCAGTAGCCTCTGGGTGAAGGGTAGCAGTGCGTCCCCTCCAATCTGCTCTGGGATGCCTCTCAGGCGTATGTTGCGTCTCCTGTGTCTGGCTTCTAATGTTGTGACCGATCTAGTGAGTGTGTGAACCTGTTGGGTCAGGCTTTCCACTTTATTCTGGGTGTTTTGCAGCTTTTTTCCTCTATCTTGCTCTTTTGCCTCCACTGTGTCAATTCTCTGTCTGAGAACCTCCATCTCCGTTTGAGCCTCCTGGAGGTCGGCCTTACATCTCTAAATCCTTACCTCCTGTAGTAGACTTTTGATTTCCCCATTAGTTGCAGGGGAAAAATCTTCGTTGGATTCTAAATCTTGCTCCAAATTTGCCTCTTGGGGTGAGGTAAGGTCCTCACTCTCTTCACAGGATTCCTCTGATGCCTCCACCTCCATCTGCAGTGCCGGCAACATCTTGGCTGTGCTGGCTGGCGCCATCTTGGCTGCGCAAGCCTGAGCAGACTCCTCAAAAGACAGCCGTATATCAGGTAATTTCAGGGTCTCTGTGTACAGGAGTCTCCTGTGCTTCCTCCCCATGTTCCCAGCTGGTGTGGATTAATTAGTACGGGGTGTCTGTGGAGCATTTGTGTCTATTTATAGCGTGATATTGCCGCGATCAGATCAGAGCACTCTCGGAACACGTTCGTGTTGCTGCTCAGTCAACCACGCCCGGTAGTTTTTGTTCTTAAACAATAATTAGATCACGTTTTATGAGGCATCTGGTGCATAGGGAATTTTTTCTGGCATTAATCTTTTTCAAAATCAGTTATACTAAACTGCACAGCTTTTATCCTCGAAGCACCTCCTACACAGCTCCTACTGGAAAAGTTAATTTATTAAACTAAAAATTGTTGAAAATTTAGAATTTAAGGTGAAACTTGTCTAATGGTAAAACATCCATCTCAATTATGTTTCTTGGATTGAAGGTTTGGCATCAATAATCAAGTCTTATGTTCAGTTATTCACTTAGATTGGATCACATTTTGTGTTAACAGTCCATAATTTTAGTTGGATAACATAAAAAATAAGCGCAATTAACAATAAGAATTTCAGTTATGCTGCATTCATCTGATTTCCCAAGCACAATACATGCACACTAAAAAGTTCCCCGCCCCTCACTGTCCTAGTGTAAATGCCAGTTCACATCCTGCCAAAGTAGACACATTTTATTCCAGAACTGTGGGGAAGATTTATAACAGTATCACAAATAATGGGGCAACGTTCTACTAGTGGAGCAATCACCATAGAAACCACTGGAGTACAGATTGCATTGGTCTCTGTGATCATCTCTAAATCAACCCCATTATGCATCATCAGTGCCCCCCATGTATGTGTGTGCATGAATAGTTTCCAAATTTCAACATAATGCAAGTTATAAAATAAAAAACAGAAAGATAAAAAGGAATTTGTCCTTTTAATCGCAAAAGACATCCAGCAGGGAAAATGTTAATTTGATAAGAATGGAGAGATTCTCCCACACTGTCTGTGGTCTGCCAGGAAAACACATCATGGAGAGACCTGCTGAGCAGATGTGTCCGGTTTTGTAGAAGAATCTGCAGAGAGATTTATAGTGCTGTGTGAACTGCTTACCTCTTAGGAATGGAGAAAGTTGGGAGAATGGGGAGAGGATTTGGATATATATGAGGAGGGCTTAAAGGGGTAGATGGTTGGGATAATTATCCCAAAGGACACAGCTTCAGAAGCTGGACATACACTTAAGGACACAAGCAAGTTTAGCATTTTTGTGTTCAACCGCAATTTGCATTTTTCTCATGTATTGCATCAACACATATATACCGTTTTTTTAAAGGACAAAGGGGGCTTTAATTTGATGTGACATATATACATTTAAAAAAAATTCCCCACAGTTTTGGCAATAATAACGTGTGTATAATATGTCCATCTTAGGAAAAGAAATTCAAAAGAAACTCAATGTTGTGACTAGAGTTGAGCGAACCCGGACTGTAAAGTTCGGGTTCATACCGAACATTAAGTTTTTTGGACCCCAGACCCGAACACGGACATATCAGTGTATGTTCGGGTTGGAGTTCGATGTTCAGCGATTTAATGGCGCGTTTTGAAAGGCTGCAGGGCAGCCAATCAACAAGCGTTTGACTTGTGTGCCCTTAGAAGCCATCACAGCCATTCCTACTAATGGCATGGCTGTGATTGGCCAGTGCAGCATGTTACCCAGCCTCTATATATAAGCTGGAGTCGCATAGCGCCACACGCACATGAGCTCTTATTACTGTATGGAGAGTTTGCTGCAGCTGTGAGGGACAGATTAGGAAAGAATTCTGGTGTTGAATCTGCAAACTACAGCGACATGGGCGTCCGCGGGGGGGGTAAGGGGGGGCACTTGCTGGATTTTTCAGCTTGTTCTGCTATTTTTCGTGTGATTGAAAATGAACTGCAATACCGGCGCCGGCCAGTAGGTGGCGCTGTGTATGGAGAGAGACAGGGATAGGAAGCTGCATCTTATCCCTGCTTCTCTCTGCTGATTGAAACCGCAGGGGAACAACACATACAGCCAGAGACAGCCTACAGATCAGGTAAGTGGGGGGAGGGTTTGAGATAGCCTATAGATTTTTTTGGTGGGGCAGCAGCCTATAGATTAGGGAGTGAGAGATGGGGGGAGGGTTTGAGATAGCCTATAGATTTGGGGGGGGCAGCAGCCTATAGATTTGGGGGGGGGCAGCAGCCTATAGATTTGGGAAGTGAGCATAGGCGTGCGCAGCCTATTGCAATAGGGTGTGCACCCTAAAGTACAAACACACGCCATGTGTATATGTATGTGAGTGTGTGTGTATATATATATATATATATATATATATACACACACTGCTGTGTGAGGGTGCTGGTAGTGTGCTATGTGGGTGAGGGTGTTTTTGTGTGTGTTTTGTGAGAGTGCTGTTAGTGTGCTGTGTGTGAGGATGCTGTTTGTGTGCTGTGTGTGAGGGAACTGGTAGTATGCTGTGTGTGTGTGTGAGAGAGAGAGGATGTTTGTGTGTGCGTGTTCGGGTCCTGTTAGTGTGCTGTTTGTGTGCTGTGTGTTTGTCAGGGTGCTGTTTGTGTGTGAGTGTGCGGTTTGTGTGTTTGTGAGGATGCTGTTAGTGTGCTGGGTGTGTGTGGGTGCTGTGTGTGCGAGGGTGATGTATGTGTGTGGGTGCTGTTTGTGGGCTGTGTGTGCTGTGTGTAGGTGCTGTGTGTGTGTGTGCTGTATGTTTGGGTGGAGGTGGGGGCAGATTAGTTATTATCCCAGTCCTGCTGCCTTCCCTGGTGGTTCAGTGGAGAGTGAACTCTAGCCCGGGTTCTCTGCTGCCTCCCTCCATGCTGCTGTGGACCGGTGAGGTAGAACTTTGATCTCCCCACCGGCGCATGGAGGCTTAGACCAGAGCTGCCGCTCGGATAGCGTCGGCTCTGCATGAGCCGACCGGGGAGATCCAGAGATCTCCACTGCTGGTCTCAATCCATTGGCGTGCCGCGGGGATTAGGGTGTGCCCATGCACACCCGACACACCCTGTGCGCACGCCTATGGAAGTGAGGGATGGGGGAAGACAGCCTACATGAAGAGTCAGCAAGGAGCAGGAAGGTAAAGTAAGAAAAGGAGAAGGAACAGAAAAGAGCAGGAAGGGACATCAAGGAGCAGAAAGGGGCAGCAAGGAGCTGGAAGGGACAGCAAGGAGCACAAAAGGTAAAGTAGGAGAAGGAGCACAAAGGAACAGAAAAGAGCAGGAAGGGACATCAAGGAGCAGAAAGGGGCAGCAAGGAGCTGGAAGGGACAGCAAGGAGCACAAAAGGTAAAGTAGGAGAAGGAGCACAAAGGAACAGAAATGAACAGGAAGGGTCAGCAAGGAGCTGGAAGGTAAAGCAGAACAAAGGTAAAGTAAAAGGAGCAGAAAGCGTCAGAAATGAGCTGGAAGGGGCAGAAGGAGCACAAACGTAAAATAGAAGAATGAGCAGGAAGGGCCTGCAAGGAGCAGGAAGGGCCTGCAAGGAGCAGGAAGGAGCACAAAGGTAAAGGAGCAGAAAGAATCAGAAGGAGCACAAAGGTAAAGTAGGAGAAGGAGCACAAAGGCACAGGAAGGAGCACAAAGATAAAGTAGAAAAGGGAGCAGAAAGGGTCTGCAAGGAGCAGAAAGGGATCAGAATGAGAAAGGAGCAGAAGGGTGCAAAATAAGCAGAAAGTAGCAGAAAGTCAAAATAGCAGAAGGGGCCAAGGATAGAAAACAGTGTCAGAAGATAAAAAAAAAAGACTGTCAAATGAAGGAGAGGAAAAGGAGATTGGAGCAGGAAGGACAAATGAAGTGAACCCTCCACTTTATTCTGGACACCACATCATAAGGCTTTGGTACCTGGGCCAGGCAGGGAAACGCTGGACCTTCTCATCTCCAAAGGTAAAAAAATATCAGTATTAATGTGTTCACTTTTATTTACTGAGTGTCAGGAAGCACAGAGTGCCGTTGGGTAGGGGTGTTGCTGATTGGCTAGAGCGGTCAGCTGGCACTCTAAGCCAATCAGTAGCTCCCCATTCATAAAAAAGTAAAAATATTTTATGAACCGGGAACTAGCGATTGGCTTAGAGCGTCAACTGACCACTCTAGCCAATCAGCGGCACCCATGCCTGACGCCAATCTGCACTTCCTGACACTCTGTTTCAGAAGCCAAATACCACTGAGCGACCTGGAGCTGGAGGAAGCCTTTGGGGTTAAACCATTTGAGAGTGATTTAACCCCTTAAAGGAAAGCGAGCACCCAGGGGCTTCCTGGCATCATAGCATTTTCATTTAGGTGAAGTTGTTATGGTGACCAGAATGGTCCTTTAATTTGCTTAAAGGAACACTATAGTGTCAGGAATACAAACATATATTCCTGACACCATAGTTGTGAAAACGCTATTCACCCTGGCTTTATGTGATAATGGCTATGCCCCTTCCCTTTCATGACACTGTCAAAAAGGTACCAAGCATGGATGTCATTACAATTATGCCCCCCCCTGGAAAAATTCCTGCGGACGCCCATGTACAGCGATTATTCAAACTACAGCGATTATTTTTGTGGGTGCTATAATACGACATTTTTGTACCCTGCCCTTAGCCCAGTGCCACAGAGAGTGCAGTGCACTTGCAACTGCATGTGTGCCAGGCACATTACTTTAATCCTGTTCTGGTAGCTCAGTGGGCAACATCTAAGCATTTTTAAATATTGCAATTCTTTTCGTGCTAAATAGTAAATTTGCGTACTGCATTTCTTGCAGTCCAATAAAACCATTAAATACTACTGTTACATTGTTGGTTTAAAAAAATTTAACTTTTTGGTGCTAAATGGTCTACAGATCAGAGTAGTGAGGCATGGGGAGGCAGAGATAGCCTACAGATCAGGGTAGTGAGGCATGGGGTGTGGGGGGAGATAGCCTACAGATCAGGGCAGTGGGAGGCATGGGGGGGCAGATAGCCTACAGTAGTGAGGCATGGGGGGGGCAGATAGCCTGCAGATCAGGGCAGTGGCATGGGGGGGCAGAGATAGCCTACAGATCAGTAAGTGAGGCATGGTGGGGCAGAGATAGCCTACAGATCAGGTGAGCATGGGGGGCAGAGATAGCCTACAGAGTAAGTGGAGGCATGGGGCAGAGATAGCCTACAGATCAGGGTAAGGGAGGCATGGGGGGGGGCAGAGATAGCCTACAGATCAGGTAGTGAGGCATGGGGGGCAGAGATAGCCTACAGATCAGGTGAAGCATGGCGGGGGGCACCTGAGAAACGGCTACCACATCCAAGGAAGGCAGCAGGCGCGCAAATTAACCACTCCCAACGCGGGGGAGGTAGTGACGATAAATAACAATACAGAACTCTTTACAGGCCCTGTAATTGGAATGAGTCCACTTTAAATCCTTTAACCTACAGATCAGGTGAGGCATGGTGGGGGGCAGAGATAGCCTACAGATCAGGTAAGTGAGGCATGGGGGGCAGAGATAGCCTACAGATCAGGTAAGTGAGGCATGGGGTGGGGGCAGAGATAGCCTACAAATCAGGTAAGTGAGGCATGATGGGGCAGAGATAGCCTACAGATCAGGTAAGTGAGGCATGGTGGGGGGCAGAGATAGCCTACAGATCAGGTAAGTGAGGCATGGTGGGGGGCAGAGATAGCCTACAGATCAGGTAAGTGAGGCATGGGGGGCAGAGATAGCCCATAGATCAGGGAAGTGAGGCATGGGGGAGACAGCATACAGGAAGGGTCAGCAAGGAGCAGGAAGGTAAAGTAAGAGAAGGAGCAGAAAGGAGAAGGAAGGTAAAGTTTGAGAAGGAATAGAAATGAGCAGAAAGGGACAGCAAGGAGCACAACAGGTAAAGTAGGAGAAGGAGCACAAAGAAACATAAATGAGCAGGAAGGGGCAGCAAGGAGCAGGAAGGGTCTGCAAGGGGCAGCAAGGAGTAGGAAGGGTCTGCAAGGAGAAGGAATGGTCTGCAAAGAGCAGAAAGAATCAGAAGGAGCACAAAGGTAAAGTAGGAAAAGGAGCAGAAAAGGGTAGCAAGGAGCAGAAAGGGACAGCAAGGAGAACAAAGGTAAAGTAGGAGAAGGAGCAGAAAGGGTCTGCAAGGAGCAGAAAGGGATCAGAAAGCGAAAGGAGCAGAAGGGGGAGAACAATAAGCAGAAAGTAGCAGAAAGGTAAAGGAGCAGAACGAGCCAAGGAGCAGAGAATGCCATGTCAGAAGAAAAAGACAAATGAAGGAGAAGAAATGGAGATTGGAGCAGGAAGTACAAGTGAAGTGAACCCTCCACTTTATTCTGGACACCATATCATAAGGGTTTGGTACCTGGGCCTGGCAGGGAAACTTTTGACCTTCTCATCTCCCCAGTTAAAAAAAAAAAATATCAGTGTTAATGTGTTCACTTTTATTTATTGAGTGTCAGGAAGCACAGAGTGCCGCTGGGGAGGGATGTCGCTGATTGGCTAGAGCAGTCATCTGGCACTTTAAGCCAATCAGTAGCTCCCCATTCATAAAAAAGTAAAAAAAATTATGCACCGGGAACAAGTGATTGGCTTAGAGCGTCAACTGACCACTCTAGCCAATCTGTGGGATACCCATGCCTGACGTCAATCTGCACTTCCTGACACTCCGTTTCAGAAGCCAAATACCACTGAGCGACCTGGAAATCTGGATAAGAGGTACTTCAACAATATTGTAATTCTGGGGCAATACCCTCACAAGTCAAACTGAGAGGTCAGTTTATAGGAAAAACTGTTGCCTGGATACAATTCTAAAACAATTTCCATATGTCCTTTGCAGACTTTACATGCTGGAAAAACACAGGTGCCAACTGCTGTGGCTTTCTGCAGTGTGCAGACTGGAAAGGAGGGCAGGGTTGAGGAGTGGGTGGAAGATGATGTGGAGGATGATGAGGTCCTAGATCCCACATGGAATGAAGGTCATGCGAGTGACGTGTGCAGTTTGGAGGAAGAGGCGGTGGTCGCATAGAGGCACCAGCAGAGCATAAGAGGTAGCAGGGTGTAAAAGCGGAGCGGCCGCCCCCTAGCGCTCGTCGACATGTATTAGCTCTAGAATTACCACAGTTATCCAAGTAACAGATGGAGCGATCAAATGAATCATAACTGATTTAATGAGCCATTCACAGTTTCACTGTAGCGGCTGTGCGCGCTTTCGGCGTTCTCACCCTGCTGCTGCTCGCCTGTCTGCGCTGCAGCGTTACTTCAACCTTCCCGCTCACCGCCTCATATGCGACGTGTCCACAAGGTGGAACTCCACCTTGCACATGCTGGAGAGACTGGGCGAGCAGCAGCAGGCGATAGCGGAGTTTCAGCTGCAGCACGCACGGGTCAGTTGCTCTGCACCAGACTTTCCCTCCAATAGATCCTCGTTAAAGGATTTAAAGTGGACTCATTCCAATTACAGGGCCTGTAAAGAGTCCTGTATTGTTATTTATCGTCACTACCTCCCCGCGTTGGGAGTGGTTAATTTGCGCGCCTGCTGCCTTCCTTGGATGTGGTAGCCGTTTCTCAGATTCCCCGTTACCCGTGGTCACCATAGTAGGCGCAGATAGTAACATTGAAAGTTGATAGGGCAGACATCCGAATGCGTCTTCGCCACCACGGTCACCGCCTCCTCAACCTCCTACTCCACATCCACCTCCTCCTCCTAGAGCAGGGTGCAAAAGCGGAGCGGCCGTCCCGTAGACAGTTCGCCTGCTACTGCCCACCGCACCCAGGGACCGAGCACACCAAAGCCAGCTCCAAGGAGTTCCCTGATCTGGCAGTTCTTCAGACAATGTGCTGACGACAAGACACGAGTGGTTTGCACACTGTGCAATCAGAGCATGAAGCGAGGCATAAATGTTCTAAACCTGAGCACAACCTGCATGACCAGGCATCTACATGCAAAGCATGAGCTGCAGTGGAGTAAGCACCTCAAAAACCAAGAAAGGTCTCAGGCTCCTCCTGCTTCCTCTTCTGCTGCTGTCTCGGCCTCTTCCTACACCTCTTCCTGCACCCCGCAAACAGAGGATGTGGCAGCAACGCCACCACGTCCGCAACTGTCCTCAAGCATCTCCACACTGTCCCATGGAAGCATTCAGCTGTCCATGTCCCAAACACTGGAGAGAAAGAGGAAGTACCCCCCTACCCACCCGCAATCCTGAATGCCAGCATTTCAAAATTCCTTGCCTTTGAAATGCTGTCATTCCATTTGGTGGAGACGGACAGTTTTAAAAACCTGATGGCGTTATTGGACTGCAAGAAATGGACCGCAGGCCGCAAATGTTTCTTTTTTTATATGTCCCAATATTTGGGGGGCTAGCCCAATTTAAAAAAACAAAAAAAATAGTGTTGGCTACCTCCTCCTCTTCCACCGCCGCTTCCACCTACACCGCCACGGTCTCCGCCTCCTCAACCTCCTACTCCACATCCACCTCCTAGTTCAAGATTATTATTTTTCATTTTTATGTATTTTATGTTATTTTAAGTTATTTCCCTATCCACATTTGTTTGCAGGGCACTTGTCCTACTCTTATCCCAATTTTACTTCCTTTTGCAGTCCTCTAGCCCTTTCCAGGACTTTTTTAGAGGCATTTTAGTGCCCAATAGTTCGGGTCCCCATTGTCTTCAATGGGGTTCGGTTCAGGGTCAAGTTCGGGTCAAGTTCAAGCCCGAACTTGAACTTTTTGACGAAGTTCGACTGAACTCAGCGAACCTGAACATCCAGGTGTCCGCTCAACTCTACTTTCCAGTATTCTCATTCCAGGAAATTAAGGGAGAAATCTACTCCCTGTTCTGGCTGTGAAGGAAAGGTGGTAGAGGGAAAACAACTTTGCATGGATTGTCTCCAAAAGAGAGCTTCTGCTTCCTCCATTACGCTGGCCCAATCACCAGACATACTGGCCTGGAAATGGCAAGACAGCGAGGAGAAAAGAGACCCAGGCAAAGACTGGATTCCTCTAACACATCAGACTCAGAAATCTTAGAACACTGGTGATTTTGAAATATTGGATCAAGTAGATTCCAGTGAAAGTGAAATGCTCTCAGAATCTCTGGATACCAAATCATGGGTAAGAAAGTTGTTTGAAATTCCTGAAGATACACAGAGTGGAGGGATCAGATAAACATCCTGCACAAACAGAAGCTGTCTTTCCTGCTCCATGGAGCCATAAAGGAGGTAGTGATGTCTGAATGGAAAAGACTTGAGAAATGTCTTCCCTTCCAGGGTAAACTAGCAAGACTCTATCCGTTGAAGGAGACATCAAAGATTTAGACAACCCCACCTAGGGTGGATGCTTCTATCTCAAGAGTGACAAGAAAACGATGCTACCTCTGAACAGTTCTGCTTAACGGAGAGAACTCATGGACTGCAAGTTGGATTTTTCCAATATCTATACAACTGCAGGAGCAGGTTGTCACCCAGCAGTGGCCCTAATGGCTGTGTCCTGGTCCATGAAGAGCTAGTTGAGAGAACTGGATTCGGATGTGGGGAGAGGCGCCAAACAACAAGATCTCTGTGACATAATTTGGGACCTGAGTACCTGGCTGAAGCATCACAGGATATAAGGGAATATTCTTGTGAACCATGACCTTATCAGTAGCTGCCAGGAGAGCTTTATGGTTACATTACTGGGGAGCTCATGCTTCCTCAAAATCGAATCTATGCGCTATTCCCTTCGAAGGAGAGCATCTATTTGGCAAAATCTTAGAAGATTCTATAAAGAAGGCAGCAAAGTGTCGCAAGTCATTTTTACCACAAGACAGAAGAGCCCAAAAAAACGGTACTTCATGACCAGACAGACGTCCTGTGAAAGACCCGTATTTCAGGGATTCACAAAGCTACCGCTCGGTAGGGAATATAATCACAAGAGCTAATGGCGACACAGACAAGGTTCTTTCCAACACTCTAATAGAGCCAGGGAAAGGGTCCTTATCTTAAGTCTAGGATAGCCTTATGCCTATCCCACGCATGCTTAAACTCCCTCATGGTGTTAACCTCTACCACTGTAGCGGATGGCACTGGGCTAACCTGGAAATTTCATGTGTTTTAATGCCTTCGGTTAAAATTGCAATGTTATATGTGGAAATGTATGTTGTATTCGTCTGATTGTTTGGTAGAATCATTCTAGCAATTATGGGAATGACACTACCGAACAGTCAGACCTCCCCAGTGTGAAGTGTGTTTTCAATTACCAGTTGCAACAATGTTGCGAACTGGTAATTGACAAGCTGTGCAGTGGGTCCTTTGTTCTCGGGGTGGCCGCCATTCGGGAAACGAACACGTGGCGGCGGCCATTTTAAAACTCCTGAACAGCGATGTTTTGCCGTCGAGTGTCTGGAACCCAAATCGGACACTCGGCTAGGCGGACACCGCTGAGACCGCTGATCTCTGTAGCATTAGCCTTTCGTGCAGTTTGTTCCCTTATACTGTGACCGACCGCATGGCCCCATCTCCTGGAACCAAATTCGGCTGTTCTCTCCAGCGCGGTCGGTCTTTTCATGACCTCCACAGATTTCCCGAACCCCTGGTCCGATCTGGGTGATTTTTGAATATGTCTCTCACACAGATCAGGGCTACCAGGGGATGTGACATTTAAAGGGGTACCCCTAGGTTTAGGGGTACATCCAGAAACTTGGGGAATTTGTGTACTGTATGAGTCAGGCTAAGGGAAGGAGATGTGTGGGAGGGTACTCGAGTAGGATTGGGCACTGTAGTAATTATTGTAAATCCCTCCCTTGCATGGGAGCATGCTTTATAAGGCCACTGTGTGAATAAAAGTGTAGTTCTGCTCCTGATGCTGTGTGTCGTCCAGTCATTGGGATTGCTGTTGGGATATTGCTATATTGTTTTACCTGCTGGAAACCTTGCCTTATGGATTGTGGAATACTAGATCTCCGCTACATTGGTTGGCAGCGCTGGGATCCAGACTCACAAAGGAACAAGGATTAATGGAGATTGATTACTCCACATTAAAGCGATCCAGACTGAAAGATCTTCTGGAAGCAAGAGGTATTCCAGCCAGCAACAAGACAAAAGCAACACTCATTTCGGAAGTAATGGCAGAGTACCGAACAGAGGAGGATTCGGTCACCGAATCAACAGATGGATCGGAGCAGGCAGAGTTCCAAAGACAGCATTCAGACTGTCATTTTATGGGGAGAACCCACCGATAGAAATCATCTCCAAGACGATGACAGAGGTCCAGGAATTTATAATGCGGCAAAGAGGGCCACAAACACCCGAGAGAAGCACAGCAGGATCTACAGTACAAGAGGGTAAGACAAAAATTCATTACCAGGCATTTAAAATGTATGTAGAGGCCGAAGAGGATATAGACGCATTCCTCCAAGACTTTGAGAGACTGTGTATGCTGCATAAAATAAATAGGGAGGATTGGGTCCCCATCTTGGCAGGACGGTTAACAGGGAGAGCTGCTGAAGCCTACCGTACCATACCAGATACGGAAATCAGGACTACAGCCGGCTAAAGGAAGTCATTCTGACCCGATATGCTATTACCTCAGAAGTGTAACGGAGGCGCTTCAGGGAATTGAAAAAGGCGGATAAAGATTCGCATGCAGAATGGGCTTGCCGATTACAACGGGCAGCCCTTGGATGGGTGCAAGCGAACCAGACACGGTCCATGGAGGACCTATTACAAATGCTGCTACTACAACAGTTTTATGACGGGATACCCGCAGACCTGCAGGAGTGGGTGAGAGACCGTAACCCCACTTCTATTACAGACGCAGCTAAAAAGGCCGATGATTACGTGGATGCACGAAGGCAACAAAAGCCAGTAGTAATCAAATCCACTGTAAGGCCAGTTGGGGGGGGGGGCTACCCCAACAACACAGTACCCCCACCACAACTACCAACCCCGCCAACGGCTGCCCCACCGAGATTTCAGCAGCCCAGCTCTGTGCAATGCCACCACTGCCAGAAGCGGGGACATTACAAGCGAAAATGCCCACAGCTCAGAGACCGGTCCACCTGGATCCGACCAGGACCACCACCACCACAGAGAGCAGCCGCCCACTACTACCAGGAGGAGAGCACGACCCCATATGGCACGGCAGTCCCAATCACAACTATAGAGCAATGGGAAATACTTCACGAAGCCGATCCAGTACAGGCCAATGCTGACAATCGACAAACTGTGTATTTGGAGGGTAAAGCGGTCCAAGGACTACGTGACTCAGGAGCCACTATAACCCTGGTAAAAAGCCACCTGGTCTCGGATAAGGCCAGGACCAGCAAAACTGTAGCCATCAGGGTAGCCGGGGGAGCAGTGTACCCACAGCAAGGGTTCATTTACATTGGGGTGCGGGGTCAGGAAACGTGGAAGTGGGGTTGATGCCGCAGTTACCAGCGGAAGTTTTGTTGGGGAATGATCTGGGGAGGCTCACGTCTGCTTTTGAGCCCCAGACACCCACCACAGGGGAAGCTCATCCTGTGGTTACCAGACAGCAGGCCCACACCCAGGACCACAACACACTCCTGGAGGTTCAGGTAAGAGACCCTTCCCCTTCCTTAGAGTGTGTCCCTTGTGCCCCCCCTTATGAATTCGCAGCCGAAGTAATAACTGACCCTACGCTGCAAGTATATAGAGA